GAAAAGTAGGTTTACATGTTCACGTACAAACTGACCATTTGGAAATCTCATTCCTGGGAACATTTTCTTCATTTTTAAAAAGCTATTTACTATTTCAACTATAATTATATAAAACTCTAAGGGGAAAACTAAAAGATTCATCTTCCTAAAGATTCATCTTTAGAAAAAATTTTGGAGGGAAAAAATACTTGAAAATAACAATGTTTATAACATTTTTTAAAAAAAGATAGTGAAAGCAGTCAATAGTCGGTAATTGAAATTATCTTCTGAGCATAGAAAGATACCTTTTCAAATACGTAAGAGTTAAGCATAGCAATTTTTGATAGATATTCTAGATAGACAATTTTGGTAGATAATTTTGATAGCAATTTTTTCACAGGAGATAAAAAGCCCAAAATACCCAAGAGTGTGCTTATACAGAACAGATGTACATGGCATGGTCCTATTTAACTTAAGGAAAACCCCACTCAGTGACCCAATCATACTTTACAAGGGAGGAATGGCATAAAAACTTCATATACCACCACATACCTAAGAGGTAGGATACATAAGCCCAGGACACAAAGGTGGCAGCAGAAATGACAATGCTTAACAACTGTTGAGAATTGAATTGTACTCTCAGACAATATGACAAAGTTGATCCTGGAACCTAAAAATGTGATTTTATTTTGAAATAGGGTTCTTGTAGATGCAGTCAAATTAAAAGAAGTTGTATTGGATTAGGGCAGGCCCCATCCAATGAATCCTGTCCCTGTGAGAAGAGAGAAATTTGAATACAAAGGCACAGAGACAGACACACAGAAAGGGAAGGAGTCATGTGAAGATGGAAGCAGAAAATGTAAGCTGCCACAAACCAAGGGAATGTCAAGGACCTCTGGCAGCCACCAGAGGCCAGAAGAGGCATGGTCTCCTAACATCTTAATTTCAGATTGTAATCTTTCAGACCTGTGATTGAATACATTTCTGCTAAGACACCCAGTTTGATGCTGTTTGTAATAGCAGACCTGGGAAACTGATACAACACTAGTCCCACTGATTCACTTGGGGAGTCACCTGCGCTTCCTATTCCTCAAACTCTGATTCTGTGGTTTTAAAGATCCCCACATGGGATCTTTCTCTGGGAGACAAAGCCATGATCCCATTGACCTAAGCTATAGCTATTACTTGGCCACTTGGAGTTCTTCAAATCATGAAGATCAATCACCATCTTAGCAAGACCTTGACCATCAGAAACTCAGGCTATTGTGACCCAATGCAAGCAAGAGGGAGCTAGGTGATCTACTGGGGTCCCTCTTGGTACTTCATTGCCTGAAATTCACAGTAAATGGACAACTACAGCAATCCTGGTCTGAAAAGGGCTTAGTGACCACAGATCAAGCCCCTTAGGGATTAAAGTCTCAGTTATGGCACAGATTAACCACCAAGACCAGGAAAGTTTCAGGCCAAGAATGAGACTAATGTACAAATACTGTAAGTGCCAATCAAATGACAGGTGTCCCTATGAGAAGAGGGAAGAATCTGTTGCAGCCCTAAAACCAATTGTAGAAGCAACTGATTCTAGTTGCTCTAATGATCTTTCCTTTCTAAATTACACCCCACTCCTAGAAAGGAATTTCAGAGCACACTCCAAGAGCCCCTTTCAGATACAATGAACACATTGCCTGGCTTCTGTGATTGCTGCAGAAGACATTCCTCAACTGTACACTCTCCAGAGCATCTTCAGCTTTTCCTGAAGAAAACTGTTCCACCCAACGTGATGCCTCCTTCTAGGGACAGCCTGCATCTTCATGACCTAAGAATACAAAAATCTTTCACGTTGTTCCTAGCCTCCTTATCTGAGCTACCAAGACTCTAGATATGTTGAACATCTGTGAAATGCATTGGCATAATTAAGCAAAAACTAACTGCAGTGTTTCATACTGTGCACAGACTGTTGGTTCCTCATTTACGTAGACTTCAGAATTACCCAGAGACCTGCTAAAATTATCTTGGTATTTGTGTTCTACCTCCCCAGCAACTCCGTTTTAATGGTTTTGGGGTGGGCTGAGCATGGGTATTTTCTAAAACCCTTCCAAAATGACTAATATGCAGCAGGCATTGAGAACCACTGGTAGACTCATGAAAATAAGTCAGTGAGGAGAAGTGGAAGAAGGGTCCGTAAATATTAAAGTCTCTTTGTATTCCCATTTTCTCTCTCTCTCTCTCCCTCTCTCTCTTTCTTTAAGTGGGAGAGTTTATTGAGATAAAAAAAAAGTATAAAGTGGGAGAGTGGAGCCCCCAGTATTGGGGAGGAGGTCCAAGAGAGGCTGCCCCTGTATCCTGATTTTTTTTCAGTTTATAGTTACTTGCTTTATCTCATCAAGGACTAGGGATGCCAACAGCATTCCTTCCCAGGCATGAAGTATAAATGAATATTAGGTAAAGACCACATAATGTGTGCTTCACATTCTAGCATTGTGAGAATGCTTGGGCCAACTTTCCCGTCCTGTCAGACCATTTCTGTATGCCTTTACTCTGGAAATCGATTGCTCCTTTTGTCTGCCTCCTTGTCTCCTGAAGCTGTGACTTTCAGCAATATTATTTACCTTAAACCCTGCTAACTGCATCACTGAAATTCCTGATCTAATAGTTGTTCCTATCTCTGCAGGATGCCCATCTTTCCCCAATTTACTCTGAAGGCAAGAAAAATGGAAGACAGTCATATATTTGCTTCTGCTACTCATAAGTATATGGTACCATAAACAACTGTAGGAAGGCTGACTTTCATAAGCTTCCCAGGAAATTTTCACATTCATCCAATTCTATTCTTTTACTTGTAGCAAAGAATTATATGCACATGTACACACAAAGCCAAAACTCTTCAAATAAACTTTCATCCCAAGAATAAGCTATCTGGAATCTCTTCCATTTATCACCCCTTTTAATTACCAGATGGTAATCTCTACTCAAAGTAGGTCTGGATTTCCTTCTAGTCTCTGTATCTGGGATATACTGAGAGGAAATTTTGACCGAGGAGGAATGTCTGCACTCCTTTTAAGTAAGGAGCCTTATCATTGACAGATTTTTAATGAAACTATTTCCTGGTCTTTTTTATCTTTCTGTGAACTCAACTACAAAAGTTATTTCCAGTGTTGATTATTAAAATCATTTTTCATATTTTACTGACATGAGAATACAAAAAGCAAATGCTTACTTTGGCTTTTCTTTAAATTACATTTAAAAGTGATATTATAATCATTGAAAAATTATATATTTATGATTATTTTTAATTGGATTTTGCCAAAATAAAATAGAAATTGCTTGCAAAATAATCCTTTTCCTATACACATCTGCTGTTGAGTACAATTATTCAGTTATTTAAGGCGGATGTGTCAGAAATCCAATTTTTTTTAAAAAAAAGATACTGCCATCTGTCATACTGGTAATGATTTCAAAGACAACATTTTTAAAAAGAGAGAAATAAGGAGGAAGAAAGGAACAGGTTTTAACAGTTGCAAACCCTGATTAATTGTACAAAAGTTAGCATTGCAAAACACCCTTCCCTGTCTTCTCAGATTCTCTATCCCTGCAGGGATTTCTGACATCTTTTAGGTTAAACTAGCATCATCATGCATCTCCAAAGGTCTGCTCATCACACTGTTTCTTTTTAAATTCATTTTCTTATAGAATATTTATAAAGTTACACTGGCCCTACCTATAAATCACAAACCTCTAAAGAAAAATGAAAATACCTGTTAACATCTCCTAAAATCACTCATCACTGAAACTTTCCTCTGAGCAAATGCATTCTTGCCAAGGATCTGTTTGAAGTAGTCATTTTTAAACCTTCGGCTACTGAAGAGAGGGTAATCTGTCTTTTAGAATTAAGAGGTTTGAAATATATGTATCTGATACAAAGCAAAATTTTCACGGTGGTGAATTTGGTTACGTAGGTTGGTTCTATTTCTCTATTCATCTCATTTTTAATTAGAATATTAAAATTCACAGCAAAACCCATTCAGGTCTTGGAACTCTCAATAGAAGAAAAACTGAAGTTCCTTATGGTATCATTCCGAGAAGTTGACATAATCTTGTGGCCACAGCATGCATACTTTGGGGTGTGGGAGCAATCCTAAACTAGAGACCATACAGTAATCCAACGTCTGGTCTTCTCTGGGCAGCACTGTAGGACCTCAGAGAGAAATAAAAAAAACCCCTGCTGATGGCTAGAACCTTCTATTGCAGATGACACTCATTGTCTATTTAGCAAAAAAAGAGGGATATGATTTCCTGGTCAAAATAATTAACTTAAAGAACAAAGAAAACTACCAGTTTAACTACCCAAGCATGTAGAAAGCATTTAAGTACATATCAGTTTATATATATTATATATACATATAATATATATAAAATGTATAAATATATATGCTGTATATATATACAGCATAAGTGACAATATGTCTGATATATATATACACCATATAAATAATTCTGTTATATTATTTATTATATACATATATTTTTATTATTGCCCATTATTATATAATAAATACTTATGATGCATAATATACAATACATACCCCCCTGCCTTGGTCTCCCAAGTGCTGGGATTATAGCCATGTATCACCATGCTAGGCCAAGACTTAAAATATATATTTTAAGGTAATCTATATGCATATATTTTAAACATTTTCTATGTCATAAAAGTTTAACTGTGTAATTTTAATGGCTTTACCATATTCTAACTTATTTAAAACAGTGTATTTATTCAGTTTAATTTGTTTAGTGAATTAAATTGCTCATCTATTTCTCCACAATATAAAATGCTGCAATCCTATTTAATAAATACTTACATGATATATAATTTTTTCCTTAGTAAACATTCCTAGAAGCAAATGTATTATCTAAATAGTATTAGGAATTTTCAAATTAGTGGGAAAAATCTTGATTGTTAAACTTTCAATAGTGATAAAAGATAAAATAATGTTAATTACCTAAAGCATAAAAAGAAAACAGTTTACCTTGTGCAAAGAGAACAGGATGGATCTTAAACCCCCCTCCATTTTTCAGCCGTGGTGGCAGTTGTTCGAAATGATAACTATCAATGTAGAAATAAATTCTCAGAGCTTGCCGGCTTCCTTCTGCTTGATATGTAAGAGGAACATCTAAAATGATATTGAAGGTTATATTACTTCCTGAAATCAGGATATCTATATAGCACATTTGGATTATTTAAGTGACATTTTAACCATTAGGAAAAATCCTGAAAATTACTAGAGACTAATACATTAAAAGAGCTCCTGTGCATCAAGTTCAGGTTACAAACAAAATGCAACTCCATGAAAGACCACTAAATCGGACCCTCATTAGCTAAAGCAACAGATTTATTACGTACTGCACATAAAGTTATGAAATAGGAAACTTCATTATACTTGGACATACCAGATGCTTCACTTAATTAAAGAGGAGTTTAGCTACACATGGTCTGGATTCAAAATCTCCCAGGGAAGCTGCAACATTTGTATTTTAGTCAAAATGAGTCCTTGGGGTGCAATTCTTAAGTACTGTGCACAAAACTGAATGCATAACAACCATTAACAAAATTAGCATGGGTTTTGTAAGTTCCATTCCCTAAGCCCCAGATCAAAAATGAATCCACCCTCCGTCGGTGCCCGGTGGTCATTAGAAATTATCTTTCAAATTTTCAAAGCTATTTTCAAAGGTCCTAAATTTAATGACTTTTTTAAAAAAAATCAACCAACTAAAAAAGCTAAAATGCTGTATGTATATTTCACAAAGCTTTCATAAATACTTTTCCTTTTTATGACACTTAACCATGACGAATATTTCTACTTCATTAAAAAGAATGTAAGATCTCCCTAAAAAGGTAGAATATTCCCATTAATTAGTTAAAAAATTAAGCTGAAGCATGCTAGGCATTTAATACATGTTATTGATTCAGTACTTATTGTTTATGATCTGCTTCGTGAAATAAATGATAAAGCTGGGAGTTCAAGGTCAAGAGTCATTTACGGCTTTTTATTGTCTTTATCTAATTCTGCATATCAATACAAAACAATTACAAGCCTCTTTTATACCATATAATAATGCTTATGTAATTTTTTGTTACTATGTTTTGTTTTTTGTTTTAAGGATGGTGTGAAAGGTTTAGGAAAAGAGAAAAAGTAAGTTTCCTACTCAAAGAATTGCAAAATAGTGTCATGTTAGTGATTGGGAAAAATCCATTCTTTCTGGTTTCTAAACTAAAGAGAAAAAGATATGTGCACAATGAATAAAATAGAGATTTATGCATTTAAACATTAGCATCTTCAAATTTCCTTTTCATACACTATCATATGTCTTTTAGTCTTTGATAAATTCCATACATTTACTCTTTGGTATCAATGTAACCAATCTGCAGAGATTAAATGGATAATGTTATTGAAAGAAATATGCAATAGCTGAAGTCTCAAAGGACTAGCATAGAATCAATGAAGAAATACTACAAATTAAGGGGCCAAAACCTACTAAAATTAGCAAATATCTATTTTATTTATTTATTTTTTGGTTTCTCCAAGATTTGCCTATTGTCAATTCTTTAAATTTCTTTTATTCATATGTGCATACAATGTTTGGGTCATTTCTCCCCCCTTTCCCTCTGCCATCTTCCTCTCCCCTCACTCTGCCCACCTGCTACCCTCAATACCAGGCAGAAACTATTTTGACCATATCTCTAATTTTGTTGAAGAGAGAGTATAAGCAATAATAGGAAGGACCAAGGGTTTTTGCTAGCTATACAGCAAGGATCTATTTTAAAGTGAAGTTAAAACTAAGAGTATGACATGAAAGAATGGAAACCATTTCCCTGAAAGTACATGTTGTGCCTGTGAAAGTGCATAGGCACAAAATCCCACAGAAAATTAGCATATCAGGGATTCCAAGATGGCGGCTAGAGGGAGGAAGCAGAAAGCGAGCCTCCTATAGTGAAATCTTCAAGAGACGCTGGAGACACACTTTGCAGGCATAAACACTGACAAAAAGCATAACTTTGACCCCTCCACAACCAGCCGGCACAGAGAATCTCCACTTCACATTAAACGGAGAAACAAGGAGGGCCCCCAGGCCGCCAGTTGCCCGTGCCCAGACGGCATGGGAAGACATGGACCAGGTGAGCTTCGCGGTACCGCGGTACTCTCCCAGACAAGCCTGGGCCAGAGCAGCATAGCCCCCTGGACAGACTGACCTCCACCCAGGGAAAAAAGAGAAACTGACTAATAAGCAATAAGAAAAATAAAGACACATGGGAAAAAGAGTGGGGCGCCCTGAGCGCTGAAGATTGGGGGAAGGGAATCCTTCCTGGGACTGTAAATAAACAAGCCAGGTGGGCCAGAGAGGCTCTGGAGGGAGCGGGAGCACGCACCCAGCAACCAGGAGCGGGAAAACTTGTGAGAGTGGCGGAGGGAGGAAAACTCCACAGAAGAGGGGGGAAGACCCACCTCCAACATGAACTGTAAATAAACACGCAGGCCTGACAACACGGGTGCAGACACCATGTCCAGGATTGGAGACTGAGAAGGACACCCAAATTATTAAGACTGAAACTTCATTGCATTTGAACTTGGAGGATTTTTTTAGTTTTTTTAATTTTTAATTTTCTATTTTTCATCTTATTTTAATTCATTTTTATATATAGATATTTCTTCAATTTACTTATTTTTTATTTTTATTCTTAACTTTATTATTTTTTTTTTCATTTTTCTTTTATTATTCATATGTGCATACAAGGCTTGGTTTATTTCTCCCCCCTGCCCCCACCCCTTCCCTTACCACCCACTCCGCCCCCTCCCTCTCCCCCCCCTCAATACCCAACAGAGAGAGGATTGAAAATCAAAAATAAAAAAAAATAAAGTTAATCAGACCTTTAAAGAAGAACTGATACCAACCCTCCTTAAACTGTTCCACGAAATAGAAAGGGAAGGAAAACTGCCAAACACATTTTATGAAGCCAGTATTACACTTACCCCAAAACCAGGCAAAGACACCTCCAAAAAAGGAGAACTAGAGGCCAATCTCCTTAATGAACATTGATTCAAAAATCCTCAACAAAATAATGGCAAACTGAATTCAACAACACATCAAAAAGATTATTCACCACGACCAAGTAGGCTTCATCCCAGGGATGCAGGGGTGGTTCAACATATGAAAATCAATAAATGTAATAAACCACATTAACAGAAGCAAAGACAAAAACCACTTGATCATCTCAATAGATGCAGAAAAAGCCTTTAATAAGATCCAACACCATTTTCATGATAAAAGCTCTAAGAAAACTAGGAATAGAAGGAAAGTACCTCAACATTATAAAAGCTATATATGACAAGCCTACCACCAGCATTATACTTAATGGAGAAAAACTGAAACCATTCCCTCTAAAATCAGGAACCAGACAAGGATGCCCACTATCTCCACTCCTATTCAACATAGTTCTGGAATTCCTAGCCAGAGCAATCAAGCAAGAAGAAGGAATAAAAGAAATGCAAATAGGTAAAGAAACTGTCAAAATATCCCTACTTGCAGACAACATGATTCTATATCTTAAAGACCCAAAAAACTGTACTCAGAAGCTTCTAGACATCATCAATAGCTATAGCAAGGTAGCAGGATATAAAATCAACATAGAAAAATCATTAGCATTCCTATACACTAACAATGAACAAACTGAAAAAGAATGTATGAAAACAATTCCATTTACAGTAGCCTCAAAAAAACTCAAATACCTAGGTGTAAACCTAACAAAAGATGTGAAAGACCTCTACAAGGAAAACTATACACTTCTGAAGAAAGAGATTGAGGAAGACTATAGAAAGTGGAGAGATCTCCCATGCTCATGGATTGGTAGAATCAACATAGCAAAAATGTCAATATTCCCAAAAGTAATCTACATGTTTAATGCAATTCCCATCAAAATTACAATGACATTCATTAAAGAGATTGAAAAATCTACCGTGAAATTTATATGGAAACACAAGAGGCAACGAATAGCCAAGGCAATACTCTGTCAAAAGAACAATGCAGGAGGTATCACAATACCTGACTTCAAACTATATTACAAAGCAATAACAATAAAAACAGCATGGTACTGGCACAAAAACAGACATGAAGACCAGTGGAACGGAATAGAGGACCCAGATATAAAGCCACAAAACTATAACCAACTTGTCTTTGACAAAGGAGCTAAAAATATACGATGGAGAAATAGCAGCCTCTTCAACAAAAACTGCTGGGAAAACTGGTTAGCAGTCTGCAAAAAACTGAAACTAGATCCATGTATATCACCCTATACCAAGATTAACTCAAAATGGATCAAGGATCTTAATATCAGACCACAAACTCTAAAGTTGATACAGGAAAGAGTAGGAAATACTCTGGAGTTAGTAGGTATAGGTAAGAACTTTCTCGACGAAACCCCAGCAGCACAGCAAATTTATCTGTGCTAAGAGATAGCACAGATAAATGGGACCTCATAAAGCTAAAAAGCTTCTGTTCATCAAAAGAAATGGTCTCTAAACTGAAGAGAACACCCACAGAGTGGGAGAAAATATTTGCCAACTATACATCAGACAAAGGACTGATAACCAGAATATATAGGGAACTTAAAAAACTAAATTTTCCCAAAACTAATGAACCAATAAAGAAATGGGCAAGTGAACTAAACAGAACTTTCTCAAAAGAAGAAATTCAAATGGCCAAAAAACACATGAAAAAATGCTCACCATCTCTAGCAATAAAGGAAATGCAAATGAAAACCATACTAGGATTCCACCTCACCCCTGTTAGAATAGCCATCATTAGCAACACCACCAACAACAGGTGTTGGCGAGGATGCGGGGAAAAAGGAACCCTCTTACACTGTTGGTGGGAATGTAAACTAGTACAACCACTCTGGAAAAAAATTTGGAGGCTACTTAAAAAGCTAGACATTGATCTTCCATTTGATTCAGCAATACCACTCTTGGGGATATACCCAAAAGGCTGTGACACAGGTTACTCCAGAGGCACCTGCACACCCATGTTTATTGTGGCACTATTCACAACAGCCAAGATGCCCCAGCACTGACGAATGGATTAAGAAAATGTGGTATCTATACACAATGGAATTTTATGC